GAACGATTCATTGAAAAGAACCTAATTTCGAGACAAATGCGATTGTTATTGTTTTAAGAAATTAATATTAAAAAGTTTTGCCTACTCAATCATATCGATAATTAACATATTGGTATATTGTGAATAAGTGTTTATCTGCATGTCGATTGTACTGTATGTTACGCTGGTTGACTTTAGTTTCAATATATATCGATATCGATGATTGCATAATTTTGTTCATTCTGTAGGACAATATTTAAAGATTTTAAATCAAAATAATTAACTATAATTCGCATCAAAAATTGTAAAAATATGATTAAAATTTAAGCATTATTTATACTAATCTTTATTTTAAAAATTATTAATTCGATTTATAAATAATTCAATGAATTTCAATAAACCGATGATTTAAATTTCGATATCTTAAAACGCTATTTTTTGACTATTTATAACGATTATTCGAGTAGGTTTCGAAGAGATAAAGTTCTTATTTTTGTTTAAAGAAGAAAAAACAGAATACTCGAATGCAGCAGCTTTCCAAAAATAATTTGAATTCAATAAACTTTGGCCTTTGCTAGAATTATTTTTTTTTAATGTAAAGAAAAGTGATGTATGCGAAGAGTATAAATATGACTATCTAGTTTTGGCGTATAGTTAAGCACGGTTTATCAAATGTGAGAAATTTCTAAAAAATTATAAAAATAAAATGAAAAATAAAACGTTCTAAACTCTTTATTTTTCATTTCATTTCTCGTAAATAGCATCGATCGATAAAATCGTGCAATTTAAACATTTCAAATAAAGCAAATTCATTCAAAATGTAATTAAATTGATAATCTATTTGAGAAAGAATGTAAATAAACTTAAGATGTTTAAGCAGAATTTATTTTTATAGTTAGTGCGAGTTAAATCTAAAAAATTACAGCTTGCTTAATACTTAGAAAAGAAAAGAAAACAAGCCCAGTATTCTAGATAACTTCTTGAGTTATAAAGCCTTAAACATTATTATTATTTTTATCTTTGTTAAAATCTTGTAAAATTCCTTTTTTGTAAACATTTTAAAACATGTTTTTCATAGACAAATCTAAGAAATGTTTGAATAATAATTTTATCAATAAAAATTTATCTATCAATATAATAATTACAATGTTATAAATCAAAACATTATGAACCGTTCTTTAAAACTGATATGGTTTTTAAGATATTAATTTAGCAAAATCTATTTTAGAACGAAATATTTCTTTACTTAATAAATGAAATAAATTAAAAATGATTCCTTTTTAAAGAAAAACCTAATTAATATATTTATAAAAAAAATCAAAAACAAATTAAATATATTATATTGATAGGGGTTCGCTATAATAAATAGCCTACTTCATTTCTTTTATTATTCGATAAACTACTCTCATTTTTAATTTTTAATGATTTATTTATTATAAATGATCTTTTCTGAAAATTAACCTATTTAGATGCAATTACAATTAGTTTTGAATACTGTATAATTTATATATTTATATACGATATTTACGGTATGATTAACTTTTATAATAAATGTTATTTTATTATTTATTATACTAATTCGAATTTGATGTTTTTTATAAAATATGAATTTTTATTTTAAAAAATATATAAAAATTAAACCGTTATAATAGTTTTGTGATTTTTAAAATAATTATATTTCAACAAATTAATAGTAAGGGCAAAAAAGAAAATATAAATTATACGTTATTCTCCGCACGTTATCAATATTTTAAGATTTGATCATTTATCTTAACAAAAAAATTGTCTGTTAGGTTCCAAAGCGTGAAAATTCGATGGAAGGACTTGACAGTCGAGAAGTATCAAATTCGAATTAGTGTAAGTGGCGGAACAAATTCCTGTTTTATCATCAACAAAATGTCTTTCGGATTGATTAAATCTCGCGGCCATTCATTTAAAGCAAAACTTAAATTATTAATGCATATTAATTGCAAAAGTTTTGTTCCAACAAATTCAATTTTATTGCGCGATTGAAGTTTAGGTAAAGTTATTTCAAATTACCTAAAGCAATTTACTAAATTTAAAGGATATAGATATTTTGGTTTGTATTGAAAAGTTTTGAAGTTTAATTTATTATTAATGAGATTAATAATTTCTAAAATATTGCAAATAAAAGATTTTAAAGAAAATATTGAATTAGAAAAAGTTTTAGTAGTCCAAAGAGAAAATAATTATAATTAATTTTTATATTGTAAGCAATAAACTGTTCGTATAAATTACTTGTTAAAAAAGAAATATATATATATTTTTAACTGACAGTCGAAAAATTTTGCAATAACTTTACACAAACTGCTTTTAATTCGTTAGTTTATATTCTCAGAAGCGGTAATCGTCTCGGTAAGCTTAGATATTTAAATTAATATACCTTAGCACAGTATTGATAAGTGTTTAAAAATGTAAGATATTAATTAAGACAGATCTATTTTAATCTAATGAAATTTACAATTGAAATTAATCACGTATTATAATTTAATATAATAATCTCGGAAAATGAAAATGACAAAACGAATCATTAAAAAGTTAAATAAATTTTATCGATTCTACGTCGGATAGCGGCTCAAATAAACTGTGAGAATATTGGTGGAAAAAATACCTTCTTAAAGAGGATTGGTCAGAAATGTAATTGTCTTAATGGTGATTGGACAGATAAGGTACTACAGACAAGGGCATAGGTATATAAAATACTATTGTATTACTCTAAATGCTTATTGACTGGAATACGTTTGTGTCATGCACCATTTAAATTTTATTAATGTTTTATTGAAAAAAGGTTCTAGACTATTTAATAATTACGATATAATTAATAAAATAATATAATTAAAATGTTTAATAAGTACAATATTTTATTTAGGGTAATTATTTAAGTTATTTAATAAAATACAAGATTTTATTGAACGACTCAGAAAGTATAAATTTTTAGGCGGTATTTTTATTTTATTTTAAATGAATTTCTACTTTAATAAAGCTTCGGAATTTATTATTAAAATAAATTTTAAAAGCATCTCGAGCAAATTCGCGAAATTTAATAAATTTTGAATAAAAGTGTAACGCGTCTATGTAAATTATGTAGTATACAGTAATGCATATTTTAATGTTTATTTATATTTTCATATAATTTTTATTACTTAAACTAATTTTTAATAGTTTTATAAATAATTCAAGTCGGAGATTCATTTTGAGATTGTTTTGACGTTTTATAGCTTTATAATATAGGCCTAAATAAATTCGACAATGATAAAGTTTTCAGTTGGTTAATAGATAAATTATGTCATTTAAATAGAACTTGAAAATTTTAAGAAAACTAATTTAAATTCAAATTTCTAGATAATTCAACTGTATTATTAATTCTATTCATTAAAAACTATTTAAAAAATGTTTAAAATAGAATTTTATGAATATTAATATTCTATGACTTTTTTAAAACGAATATTGAAATTAAATCATTAACTTTCATAACTTTAGCCAATTATTTCGACCTTAATATTTGACCTCCAAAATTAGAATATTATATTTTTAGCGGCCGTTTTATTCAATGAATTAAGTCTTTTTTTAATCATCGCGTGCAGTCAGCAATCATTTCTGAGGAACCTTTTCGTTTGCCAGACAAATTACTCCTTTCAGAATAGGAAATGATGGATTGGATAAGTTAAGCACTCGAATCCTCGTTAGATCCTAAGCAAATTGTTCATCCTTCTAACTTGTTTCTCTTACGGTAACGGACGAGAATATACTTTGTTTCATATCGGATTTTAGTCTTTAATCTCTGTTTATTATTTTAAAAGAGAAAAGTTTGACATTAAATCGGTAGATTTTTATCGATCCGAATTTAACAGCGCTCTTAGTAATTACATTATTATAACTAAAATGAGTGATAAATTCTTTAATTCGGTGAAAAGACTATTGTTTTACTTCGAGATTTCAATATCGATTCGCAAAGTAGTGACGAGAACCGGTTCCAAAGCGTAAGATAACCTACATATTTTTCTACGAGACGTCATAATCTGCACGTGTTATTCTTGGCCTTATACTCCCCCTTAGTTCGTAGCGAACCCTCCGGCGCGTCGAAGCGCGCAGATAAGATCCCCAAGACAGAGTCGGATGCGGCTGGCGAGCAGATGGCAATAATTAGCTTATTGCACTCCGTTTCTTTACGTCGGCCGGGAAGCATTCGAAGAAACGTCACTCCCTTTGTTATTTATTAATTAGATCATCGATTATCTCGGTACTTAGTCTTTTCTGCGGTCTACGAAATCTCTTTTTATTTTCAATTCGATTCATTTAATTTATTATCAAAAAAATTAAAGAGAAAAAAATTAATTTCTTTGGTTAAAATGCTAAATATTCGCCGGAGAAAAGTTATTTTCGTCCGACTGTGAGAATAAAGTCGGTGCTATACGTTGTCATTGAACGTGGGATCGAATTGCGTTATTTAAGCGGCATCTCGAGAAAGAATCGCCTTCTGTAAGACGGCACCTCCAGCCGTTACTATTCTGGTATTTAGCTTATTTTGACTACTATTATGCGGGATCCCTTTATCGTTTGGCAACTTATTTCGGAGGAAATCGGGCCGTTTTTCTCGTTTCCCCCCACAAAATAAACAAATTCGACGTTGGTTACGTCGTTCATAAATTCGGAAGAACATGGTACAATGGCGAAAAGTAGAGAAAAATTAGATAACGAAAGATGACTTTGGAGCGAGGTCGAGAAGAGAATGGAGAAAAACTATTCGAGTCGCTACAAAAACTTCATCCACTTAAAAAAAGAAAGCTATCTACTTTCGTTCGTCATTCGAATGTTAGCTTATTATAGAAGAGAATTTCGTTTTATTACTTTGTTTTTGGAATTTTTCGGGCCAACAGATCGAGTTACGCCAGTCGCGATTTCGGACCGAATTAAAGGAACCGTAACGATTTTCGGTTCCTCGTCGTTTCTTTTATCGCATTATTTTTTTACTGTTTATTTACATTTTTTGAAGGACTTACCGTGTAATCACTTCCACCGCTTCCGGAATCGGGATCCCTGAATTGTCTTCTGTCCGTTCTGGGTAGAGTCTGCGAACCGTGTAGAAGCTCTTCCAGACTTTCGATATAGTCTATGGCGTTTCGTAAAATTTCGACTTTGGGTAGTCTTTGGTTGGGATTAGAGCAAGTCCTTCGTTTTAACGTTTCGAAGGCTTCGTTCACTTTTCTCAGTCTTCTTCGTTCTCTCAACGTGGCGGCCTTTCTCCTGTCCACCGTCACCGTCTTCCGTTTGCAGGCTTTGCAGGCCCACAGAAGACATCTGCGTTGAGCGTGGCCTTGGAATGGTGGAGCCAAGACGTGAGGAACGTGTTCTTCGTTGTCGTCTCCCGCACTCGAACGTCCGTCCGAAGAAGTGGAGGTGACGGGCGAAGGAACCGCTCGCATTTTGCAGTCCGTGACATTTTTGTCGTCGCAGGAAATCGGTACTTTCAGACGAAGGGGAATTTTGTAGTCCGTAGAGGCGTCTGGAACGGGAGAACTTCCAGAGGGGGGAAAAGGCACAACGGGCCAAGGCGGTCGTTCGCCCAGACTAGGAGGAACCGGAGCAGGTGGAGGACTCGAATACAAACCATACATGCTGGAAGATGATGAATTTTCGTATCTGCAACTCCTCATTTCCAAAACCATTTCGTTTCGTCTCCTGAAAAGATAGTGAGAATTATAACACCGATAATTAATCAAATAGTTACCTCCCATATTTTACATTTTGATTAGTATCGTCCCTAAGTTCTGTCTTACGTTTAACCGAAAATATATATCCCGCGTCTACGTTCGAGTGAAAAGAATAAACAGAATTAGAAAATAACGAGATAAACGTAACAAAAATAGACGTAAAAACGTTTCCCGAAAAGCAGAACAGGAAAGTCGTTGTCAGAAAACGTCCTCGATAGAGCGTACCTGCTTCGGTAGCGAAGACATATTTGCGGAACGATTCTTGGACGATGCCGCTTTACAAATTACCGATGGCCCTAATAACCTCTCGGAAAAGAAAAAAAGAGAAGATTTGCGAGGTTCGAATGCCACTCGTAACGAGAATATTACGACAAAAATATCTCTATGACTTCGACCAACGAATGCTTTTCTTATGTCTTAAAATATATTTGGATATAGCGCGACACACAAAGTTTGTTTTTAAAATTTTCGTGAATATCTTCGAAGAAAAATATGAATCTTACGAAAAAATATGATATTTTTAAAAAATACGTAAAAAGTAAACACAAGTCAACAGTAATAGACCGTGGTTGCTTTTTAAATAAGATATATAGGCCTATATATTGGATACTTTAGAAAATAATTTAAATCTAAAATTTCTAGCAAATCGAATCAAAGCGAGACATAGCCTATTGTTTCAACTCATTCCAATACACCGAACAGTTTTATGTCCGATTATACATTAAGTAATATCTAAACCGTAAACAATTTTTACTACTGAGTTAACTTTAACAGAAAATTTTGTATAGTGATTAATTGACAGTCCAAGATCTAAAATTCCTCAAACAAAGTTCTTTTCGGTCTCGAAAAGTCACAAAGAAAGACGAAAGGACAGATTTCTGTCGGAAACGATAAAAATTTCGACAATAAACGTATTCCGTAGTTTCAGTTTAGAATTTCTAAAAAGAAAAAAATTCGAACGTTTACGGAATAGAAATGTGTAAAAAACATTTAATATTCTCTTATTAATCAAGAAAACAAAAGGATCAGTGGATTCTATAAATTGACTCAGTCTTTATCGGATACAAAATAAATTTTGTCACCAGTTAAATCATTTGTATGTCATCATTCCGCGGTTGAATCAAATTAGAGCTATTAAATGCTTTGGTAAATATCTACCTTTCGGTTGTAGGGCATTCATTTAGAAAACAAAGTTATGAATGATATTGTCTACAGAAGAATGGAAAATATCCCGCAATGTAGACTATTTTCTAAATCTTTCATAATTTCTGATTTCTGTAGAAAGAGTATTCTACAATTGAAATTTCTTAGAAAAGATATTTCGTTATAGGCCTAAAGTTTTCTAACCTCGTATCGTACTGTACACTTTAAGTTGTGTTATTACTTTTCTGTACTGTTTATGTAATATCGATCAATAATTAATTTTTGTTACTAGCTTAATATCGCTATTCATTAGTATTTATATAGGCCGATACATAAACATTTAACTTACCGTACACCAATAAACTTAATTAGTATAAATTAATCTAGAAAAAAGTAAGTATTTAAATTGAAAAAATTAAGTTTATCGTAAAATGTTGGGGTTTAAAAGATTTAGAAATGGCAGTTTCTACATTTAATCTATAAAAAGTTACTCTAGTTATTAAGCTGTTCTTGGAATAAAGTTACGTAATATATAACTGCTAGTGAATATACAATTCGTTCGGCAACTATTCGATATAATTTTATCGTGGATTATCCCTAAGAAGCTGAATAATTCATGCGACTTCTATAAGATTTGGTAGGATATATCCATTTACGATAAAATATACTTAAAGAAATTTAACCTTTTTAATTTAAATTTTTCGGGTTTTGAACGAGTTTGGATTCCGCATTGACAAGTTAAGATTGTATGTTTATTACAGACTTTATTGTGTTAGAAATTTCTTAATTTGGTTAACTGTTAATTTGTTTATAAAGTTATAAACTGAAATTAACTTTCAGAACATTTAGTTGGTCAAATAAACTTATAAAAAATCTATAAAAAATTTACAAACAAACATATATTAAGTTTCGATTTTACTTTACATTCTGTATTTATTCTTGATATATTTAATTTTAACTGATAACCAAATTTCGAAATTTCTCTTTAGAGAACAATATAATGGCAGTAATTATTAGACTTTATAGCAACAAATATAACTTTTTTTCTTTATATTTAAGGAGTGGACTAATCATCAATCAGAATAGACAGACAGAATTTCATTCCTTACATTAAAAAAGAGGGAGAAAGTAAATACCCGTCATCATTTCAAAATTCCACACATTTATCATTTTTATATTTCCAAAACAAACCTAAATATTTCATCATTTTAATTTCTTAATTATTTTTTTTACATTCAAGATAAACGCTATTCCTTACAAAGAAATGTTGAAGGATTTTTATTTTTGTGAAGAAGTAAAATAATTTAATTGATAAGTTTAATTGATGCCTTAAAATGTATACATTGCATTTATACATACATAACTTTTAATGTTATATTTTAGTTTATATTTAAAACATATTATGTTTAACAAATGTAGAGCGAAATTAATTTAAGTTCTTCAATATGTCAGCTCGAAAAAATTTTGTTAAATCGATGATAATCTTAAACATAAGTGTAGGTTATTTTGAGATGAAATTAACAGCATATTAAGGTTAAATATCGTTTCGAAGGCATTTAGTACACATTGTTTGGAATTTGAGCGATTAAAACTCGTTAATTTATGAAGTATTTTCGAAAATTGCATCCAAAGGAGAATACTCACCTTTCTGTTTCGGAGATCCGAAAAATATTTTGGTTTTGTGATCTTTAAGATGTTACAGTCTCTTATCCGGGTCTATAAAGTAATTCGGTGACGAGCTAAAGTGATTTCGGTAGCAATAAACCCAGCATGACCAAAGGATGAGATTGCAGAGGATGGCATGATTGCTTCGACTCGGGATTGACATCAATGTGAGGTCTTCCGACCAGGGGGAAGGAGCGAAGATCTTTTTGGCAGATTTTGTGACAACCGAGTATCCATTCCTGTTGAACTTTACCGTGCGCATGCGTTAAAGTCAGCAAGAACTATTACAGGGATAGAGTTTCACCTTTAAAGTTTCCCTTCTTCCCCATGCCCTCGACATCCGTTGGAGGGCAGCAGATGGGAACTAACTAATTGAACGATCAAATCACCTCTGACCTAAAGAATGAATAATTTAAGTATTCTTTTTACATTATTATTTGGCAGGTGAACGGTTTTAGTAGCAAATGTCGGCCTGGCCATTTTGTGGCATGAAAATGCGCACGTTGGCGTTTAGGTATGTCATTCATTCGATACCCACGATTATTTATTAGTCGATATCCCAAAGAAGGACGAAACGTGACACTGAATGGACGAATAAATTGTGAAATATAATAATTTGGCTTTTTTATAGCTTACTTTCTTTATCACTCGATAGTTTATAATGGTTTTATACAAAAATCAAAATACTTTCGTTGTAAGCGGACGTCGGTAATATTAACAGAGTTTGAATTAATTTCGAAATTTCAATATAAAATTAGATAATTTAAATAAAATATCGATTTTTAATTACATAAATTTCTACATCCCAATTTTAACTGATTTCAATATTTATTGCAAAAATGTATGAGAATTTTTATATTTAGTTAATTCTTTTTAGACGCAAGTCTAGAAAATATTAAGTTTTCACTTAACTACCACATTTATAAGTAAATTAATTAAAACCGTTTATTTTTTAAATGAATTCTACATATAATTATAACAAATATTATTAAGTAAACTATTTTAAATTAATCTTACCCAATAAAAAACGTCGTTTTGGACGAATCCAATAGCCAAGTGTAGACGTAGAAAGGTCGAGGAGAAACTTTATTCTTAGTTAAATCGATGCATGTCTAATTCATTACTTACACTCCCAATAAGAGGTTCGCGACGGTAGAAAAACACAAATTGTATATGTAACAAAATATTATAACCGATACTTCTATCTCTTCCCTTCTGTAGTTATTCTCCTTCTTATCCAATTAACGTTCGTAATGATAATTTAACTGACACTAAACAAATAAATTTCAAGTGTTAAACCGACCAATAAAAATAATCGCCACTCGATCGTCACTTAGCCAATCGGAGTTATCCATACGAATCAAATTTCGCATAGTCGATGGAAAGTATTAAGCTTTATGGGAGTAATAAAAAAATTAATTAGGAAAATAAAAAGAAAAATGAAATATGGAAAGTCTGATTTTGCACATGGAAAAAGCATTTTCGAAATTACATTGTAAATAATACTTATAAGAGAATTTAAAAGTTTGGAAGTATTTTCGACCCGACCGTCGTAAATGTCGATCGTCCTATTTTGTGACCCGAAGGTCGAAGGTCGCCTCTCGGTCGATCGCCATTAAATCCGAGAACGACGGTGAGAATCCGTGGGATTTTTCGATAATCGTCCATCCACGTACGGACCGTCTACTCGGAAAAACATAGTCGGAGGTGGGATGTGGAGGAGGAGAATCGATTTCCGGTATCGATTCCGATTCTGCGGTTTCGATGTGAATAAGATCAAGGTCCGAGAATAGAGGGAAGCGGCGAGTAACACGTGTCCCCAATGACATCACTTCGATTAGTATAGTGTATCGGGTCATTTCCGCCTTAAAAAGATCGGAACGTACCGAATTCGGACGGACCAGAGAGGTCCTTTTTGTTTTTGAAATTAGCGCTGATGATGCATAAACATATGGAGCTGACGGTTGACTCATTTATTAATGAGAAGTCTTTCTTCCCTGAATTCACACACGTTTCTCGGCAGGAAGTGACTTTGATTCTTTTGCATTTTTGATTCTTAACTACAGTCTTTTATGAGATCGGATGTTTTAGTCAACTCGACCATTTATATTTTTGATGAAGACCGTATCCTCGACTTTATCTAATTTCTTCATTCATCCTACTTATCCTCTGTTTAACTTTTGCCTTCGACCTTCTCTGGTTATTTTGTTTAAAATAACGAATTCTCGTTTTATTTATTTTTTTCTCATGGTATTTGTCCATTTATCAAGTAGAGCTAATTCTCTTGCATCTTGCACAAATAAATTCTTACTTTATTTTTAAAAATATATTTATTTATTTAAATCTAGTAGCAAACAGATATTCGAATATAAAATATCTGTTTCTTTGGTAGCAAATAATTACTAAATGAAGAATATTACAATATTACGTTTTTATTACATAAATTACTGTTTATTAGGAAATACTTTACACCGAAGTTAAATCTGTATAAAAGTTATTTATTCTTAATAATAGATTGACTTACATTAGAATCTAAAGAAATCAGAGCAATACATGTGCCATTTTAGTCCTTAGAATTAATAAAAATGTGCCAAAACATATAGCATGAAAATTTTCCTCTTCCTTTTTTTTTCAATGATAACTTTTAAATTGTCAAATTGATCAGAATTCTTAATTGAAGTGATATAAAATATATTATTGCGAATTCAATATACTTTTTCAGAATAATTTTAATACTGTTTAATTTTCAAATAAAGAAAGATCATCGAATTTTCTTTCGTTTAAGGTAAAACTTTATAACGTTTAAAGGGTTTGAATTTATTTTTGAAATTTTTAATGATTCATACTTACGTTTTTGATTATTAATAGCGTAAAAATTATAAATTACATTTAAAAATCGATATCGAAACAGTACTGTACATAATTGGAATAACTAAATATGGTAGTACTGTATTACTAAAACTGTAATGTAAGTAAATAAACTTTCGATTGTTTTCATCATTATTTAATTTTATTTAATAAGCATAAAGTTGCTGTTTTAAATTTTTAAATAAATAATGATTAAAATATTCGGAGAATTTACTTACTCGATGAAGACTGAGCCTATTTCTGAACTCACTTTTTCGTGAAATGGACTTGGAGAAACGAAATATCAGGCCTCATTTTCATCTTAATAAATTTAAAATAGTCTCGTCTGTCCTACATCATAAATATTTGTTTCTTTGTGAAACACAATTATAACACAGAGTATTAATAATTTTTGATAACGTTAAGAAATTATTTTAGAATTAATGTAAATAAATAAAGAAGATATAATAAGATTTTATTTGTACTTTGGAAGATGTTTAAACAGATCTAATTTGCAAAATAAATTAACAACCTTTTCCAAAGCTATATTTTTGTATTACATTTTCATCGGGCTAAATAAAATTGAATTTTCGTTAAAACTGTTTTCTAAGTAAAAGTTTTCAACGTTTTAAAATAATATTTGGGCGTATATAAAATAATTGTCAAAGTATCATAGGCAACAGTAAAAATTTCGCAATGTATAAAATGTCGCAAGCTCTTACGAGTTTTTCTTTAACTTATAAAAAGTCATTTATTGTACAAATATCATAAGTGACTTTTATATTGTAATTTGGCATGAATTCTCTAAAGGAACAATTAATCTACGAATATATGTCAGGAGCTGTGTCGGAAACTTTTAAAAGGTACAGACTGATATATACTGGTCGGGGACAAAGAATCAGTTACATCTCATTACCTACATAAAGCTTTAATTCGAAAAAAACACTGAATATTACGAACGAAAACTTTTGGCATAGAACTTTTCCGGCAGAAAATTGCAGGGGCGAATTCACGCCTACGAAAGTCCCTGCAATTTTCAACATACCAAAGTATTTTTGTCCTAAAGTGTAAAACTGAAAGATGGAAGTACTAATAAAATATCCAAGATTCAACATTTTTTTCTTTTTCTCTTTTTTTTCTTTTGGATGGCTGATGTGGGCGAGAGAAAATTTCGTAGCGGATGCAACTCTCCAACTCTGAATTTTATCATATAGACCTATACTTTGTATTTATAGATTAAACAAATTATTTTATTTTGGAATTATCCATCTTGATTACAAAAAAGAAGTAAACATATTCTTAATTTCTCTAGCATCTCGCCGGATAATCCGTATTTTTTATTTATTTATTTTTTTTTATAAAAGCATAGACTATCCTAAAATCGAATCGAAATAGTAATGATTATCGAGGTAAGTCTCGATCGATTAAAATTTTTTTTCGTCTTAATAAAGACGAAGATCATTCGTTCTCGATTTAAGTTTAAATTTAATTTAAAATATATCTTATTAAAAATAATTTAAAAATTAAATATTGAGTTTAACATTTTATAGATTTATTCTAAGGATCACAATTAGTAAACTATTAAAGACTGATTAAAAAAAGTTAAATCTAGGTTCAATTTTTTTTCATCAATCTTTGGTACTAAAATCTATGATTTAATAATCAGTTAAAAATAGAAGTGACTTTACTCAAAGTACACATTTAATTGTATGTACTGTACAGTACTGTACAGAATTATTTTCTATACAAACATGAAATCGGCACTATTATACAGAGTATTTTTACATTTCTTATTAATGTAACAGATGGATTATTCAGTAGTTCTTTACTTCACATTTATTTCTGCCTTGCAAATTTTGTTACGCATTTCTTATTTAATAATTTTGTTTTTATTTTATTATAAAAACACTAAAAATCCGATGTGTGGCTTTCTGGACGTATACTTAAGTTTTTATGCTAATTTAAAATATATAATATATTATTTAGTTATAAAAATATTTACACAAAATATATATTTATTTAATAGATTAATTAAGCTGCAATTCTGTATGATTCAGTATGTATAGATACTTTTTGTCATTCGAAAAATGTCTGTATTTTAGTAACATTTTAATTATCCTAATTTATAACATAAATAATTATTATATTCGAAAAATTCCTTCTAAATTCATTTATATTTTTAAGATTTTGCTTTGAAAAAAAAAATGAAGAAATTAAACGATTTGCAGAAGTTTTGGGTATAATCTGACTACAGAAAAATACCTCGAAATAAGGAAACTGTGTACGTTATTATGTTTAACGTTCGAATTAATGTATAAGTATAGATTAAAGTTTTCCCAGATGAACTTTATAAAACCAAGTTTCAATTTAGGTTAATTGATGTTCGTGTGCAAACTTAGCATCCAATGTCAATTGAAGAATTTATATCTAGCTTTATCGAAATTATTTACAAAAAAAAATCTTAGAATAAGGATGTAAATAAAAATAAAATAAATAATAGTTAATTACAGAAAAAAATGTGATGTGATATTTAGTTTGAGTTTATTAATTTTATTGGCACTTCAGACTGCGATGACTTACGTTTTATTTTTAATACTGGCCCAAACGAAAAGTAGTTGATGGTTCCCTCGATTTATTTTGCATTATCGCGAATCTCTTTGTAAACTATATCATATACGGATGACCTATAAAAACATTTTTAGAAATGAATAATTCAAATTCTACGACGAATTTTGATATTTTTATTTAGAATTAATTTAGGGAAATGAACATTTCCAGATTCCTTAAAATCGATGGCTACCGCAATCGTTAACAAATGCAAAAATCTAAAATAATTACGAATAAATCCTATGTAATTAATAGAAAATATCCACAAATCTACTACATTTTCGATAAATTTTGTTTTCTTAATCTAATGATATTATGTATTTAGATTTGCATGGGCGTAGGTCGATCTTATAAATAGGTTTTGTAAGTTTGAGACTCGTAAATTCGCTCTGTTTATTTTTATTTAGACATTTAGACTTATTAACTCTCCCAAATATCCAATATTAGTTACTATCGTTTGTCACTCAGTTTAATTATAATCGCGAATATTCCAGATTTGTTGGCATCCCCTCCCCGAAGTGTAAGCCAGGATGCCAACAAATCTCATACCGCCACTCTCTTCATCTTTCTTTTGTATAGCAACGAAAACAATTTAGTAAATTTAGCCTCGTGTCTGGCCCACTAAATTTATTATTTATCATCATTAATTTGACGTATCGTTCGCGTTTATATGACAAAAATGCTTTCTCTAAACGTTCTCAATGAATAAAATAGATTTTGTTAGCATATTTTTTTTTACTACCAATACGTTTACACGAGTTCTTTAACTGGTAATTTGTGTAAGAAAATGTGTTTTAATCGAGTTTCTCGTATTTCGAGTTGTAACAATGATATTTATTTTTAAAATTAAATTAAATAAGCTCTTACTAATATGAGGAGTTATAATTACGTCCAAAATTCATACTTGTAATTAATGCAGAATTGTTGAAGTAGAACGTTACTTTAACATAATATATAAAAGAGAAAAATGATTTTAAAACGTAAATAATGACATCAAATTCTCTATTATATACGAGACCGAGATACGATGACGAATTTATTAAAGTGACGACTTCAGATTTTTTCTTTGATAAATTTATTTTCGGTAGAAGTCATTTATAAATTCGCGCGTGCTATTATAAGTAGAATTATTTAGTCACGGTATTTTCTAATAAAATACTGTAACCGAATAAATTTCTTCGCTAATTTTTTAAATCGAAGATGTAGTGTACACAGACGACCACGACTGTTATTATTTGCTACGGATATAACTTATTATATATCAGCAATATCTTGGTATCAAATCTGAAATAAATGACATATAAGGAGTCGTATCTTACTTGATATTTTCCTATTATTTTTGAAATTAATTTTCGAACTCAAATAATTTAATTTTGATATATCGTAAGTGAAAATATCTTAGCGTAGGTTAGTAAATTGCATATGAAGTATGTTAGTAAGTTGAATTCAAAAAAATGAATTATCTTCATTTAATTATTATAGAAATTCCTATTTATATCAGATAAAAAAATGAATATTTTTTGATATTTTAGCATCGTAGTGCCAGACATTTAGTCTCTGAAACGAACCAGATTTGTTATTTTTAATTAGGCAATCTGTAACTTAACGTTAAAATATATATATTATTTCGGTTGTCTTTTATTTCTGGTATTAATTATCGTTTCGTAGGTGGATAAATTTTAGAATTTTTAAAAATAAAAATTTCGGCCGTCGGTACCTTTCCTTACATTTCGTATCTACGTATTCGAATAGTTAAAGGAAATAAGTTTGCGCGTGTTTAAATTAATAATGAAATAAAATTGGCATAAATTCAGAAGATGATCAAGAGTCTGGTTAAGCTCAGTATAGAATGGCGTGTTTAGAATTCCTCGGAAAATACTTCAAAGAATAAACTATCCAAAGAATTTCATTTGATGCCAAATTTCTCGGAAGACAAATTCTTGTTTACATAAAAGAGATTTAATATTTTTCGACAATTAGTTCTTTCATCTAAACGGGTGAAGAGGAAAAAGTTCGCATTTCGAATTCGAATCTCGTAAATAACTTTAAGGATTATAGTTCTTTTTAAATTCGAAAGATGGCACCGCCGGGGTTACAACATAAATAGTAAAAAAAGAAGAGGGTAAAATTGATGTTTGAGAATGACATCTACAAAAGAAAAAAATGAAGAGTCGGAAAAAAAGACACATGGGAAGTAAACACTCGACATACCACTACCATAATATAAAAAAGAAAGGCAATTTTAAGTCGGAAGAGACCGTATTTAGGTTGTTGCGAGACAGCCAGTTGCGAGTTGTGATTTTTTAACTATCGAATGATTGGTGAGGATGACATTCTCTAAATGGTTGACACGACTATGTGTTTGACCAGGAATAGTTTTAACTGGGGAAAAACTCTTTATTAACGATATCTGTCTCGTTTTCTGAAATTTCGCAAAAAATTCTCGATAAAAACGTCATCTCGGTTTTATCTTTAGGAATGGATTATAAATAGGCTAATTTTTCTCCCACTGACATTTTTTATGATTTACAGCAGGCGGAAAGTTCTACCTCCTATATTTTTCAAATAATTTTGTGTCGCATTTTTCTCTTTCACTTTATGGGATAATTTAGTCTACAGTTTCGTTGAAAAACCGCTAAAAATGTCTTTAATTAAGACCGGTTCGTCACTTATTACACTTGAATTATTTTTGTCTTTTTCAATAATACGATAAAATATTTAAAATTGGTTGATATGCTACAACGTCCTGATATAAGTTTATAAGTTAATCTTTTATATTCTAAATCTTTAATTTTTTATTCAATATTTTTAATTAGAAAATAATTTTTTAATCAGTTGATAAGTATGAAAGAAACAAAATTAATGAGGATTTTTGTTTGTATTTTTAATTTACTTTCCTAGGCGAAANGATTCAACATTTTTTTCTTTTTCTCTTTTTTTTCTTTTGGATGGCTGATGTGGGCGAGAGAAAATTTCGTAGCGGATGCAACTCTCCAACTCTGAATTTTATCATATAGACCTATACTTTGTATTTATAGATTAAACAAATTATTTTATTTTGGAATCATCCATCTTGATTACAAAAAAGAAGTAAACATATTCTTAATTTCTCTAGCATCTCGCCGGATAATCCGTATTTTTTATTTATTTATTTTTTTTTTATAAAAGCATAGACTATCCTAAAATCGAATCGAAATAGTAATGATTAGCGAGGTAAGTCTCGATCGATTAAAATTTTTTTTCGTCTTAATAAAGACGAAGATCATTCGTTCTCGATTTAAGTTTAAATTTAATTTAAAATATATCTTATTAAAAATAATTTAAAAATTAAATATTGATTTTAACATTTTATAGATTTATTCTAAGGATCACAATTAGTAAACTATTAAAGACTGATTAAAAAAAGTTAAATCTAGGTTCAATTTTTTTTCATCAATCTTTGGTACTAAAATCTATGATTTAATAATCAGTTAAAAATAGAAGTGACTTTACTCAAAGTACACATTTAATTGTATGTACTGTACAGTACTGTACAGAATTATTTTCTATACAAACATGAAATCGGCACTATTATACAGAGTATTTTTACATTTCTTATTAATGTAACAGATGGATTATTCAGTAGTTCTTTACTTCACATTTATTTCTGCCTTGCAAATTTTGTTACGCATTTCTTNAATAGTTAAAAAAGAAGAAGGGAAAAGTATTTTAGAAATTAAAGGAGGCGTTTTAATTAATTTATTAATATATTATATTACTAATATGCCGTTTTAAGTTTTAAAGGATGAAATATGTAAATACGGTGAGTCCTCGTTTTAACGGATTCCTATTTAACGACTTCGGATTTAACAGATAAAATTTCTATCCTATAAGAAAAACACAACTTTTTAAAATTTGCGAATAGAGTATGCTGAAAGATTGAATCATTCAAGTATGAATTATTTCATATTATTTTCATAATATATCATTTTAATTTATCCGATACATTTTAAGTTCGTTAAATTAATGTATGCTTTGAGAATACATACGATTTAATGGATTTTCGGCAATAGCAGATACTCCTTTCTTCAATTATTCCTTTAACTATACTTGTACTATAGTATGAATTATTATAACTGATTAGTTTGTTAGTCACTTTTGCGTACTAAATTAAAATAAAATATAATAATTGTAAAATTTGATTAAATTTAGTAGTAAAAGTATAAGTAATATTAAGTTACGTTTAAATTATTCTTGATAATAAAAATAACTGATTATCATTTAGAAGAGAATAGAATTTATCCACCGAAATTAATTAAATCGGAATTAATAATTTCGAAGATAAACTTTTGAAAAGTATTTGATTCGGTCACAGAATTATGATTTTTATTTATTTATTTAATTATTTCAATGCTAGTATCGAATTTGTTATAGAAATTAAAAGTTATAATAGATTTTTTGCTGTTTATGTCCTGGAGAATTTATTATTAAGCAGAATTTAAAATTTAAAAATGAAGTGCAACTCAAATTCATTTTTATTATAATTTACTGAATACAACTTTGGAATTAAGCAAAATAAAATTTTACATTTTTAGTGTATTATATTCTTTAGTTTGTCGTTTTTATTTGTACGGAACGAGAGTTACTCGTGAGAATATCTGGCGACACATTTTATATGGGAAGTTGGAAAGCAAACTCTGGACGGTCATTCATTCCCCGGCATCCAGGGAATGGGTTTTTTTAAATCTTGCGGAAAAAAGAAATCTTCGGTAATAAAAAAAACGAATTAACTTACCGCAAAACATAGCCTAAATACTCTCATTTGTTTTAAATGACTTTCGTTTTGAACAGCTGCATTTTTGGGTTTAGGAAAAATCAAATTCTAAACTTTTTAGAATACATTTCACTTAACAAATGTAATCATTTTTCCATTGCATTCGTCAGTTGTAGTGAAATTAATACTGATCTCTGTATCAGTTAAAGTAATTATTTAATTACAAAATACGCTAACTGATCGATATAATAATTTAATATTACTGTATATAAATGGTGACTTAATTTTATATTGTCTAAAATATTTCTATATTTAATTGTTTTAAATTTGTATTAAACCTATTTAAATAAATGTTTCATCAAAGACATTAGATAAAAGCATGAAAGATCGCTCGATTTTCTATAAAATCGACATCATTTTTTACGTCATGTGAATGCAAAAGCGAAAGAATGACGTCAAACAGACGTAAGAAAGTACTCTATCTTGTAAGAGTTAAACAAATGATAAATCTGTACGATTTTTTAAATCCAATATATGTTATCTGTCTTACGCAATCTATAAATATCGATTAATTTATAAACGTAGCAAGACTTCAATGTGAAAGTTTTTCGCCGTTTCGTAAAATATTTTAAAATTCAATATTAGAAAAGTATTCAATATTTCTGTAATGTCAAATTATATTGGAATATTCTATACAATCCCGAAATAAAGTAAAACGCAAATAAATTTGCTCTGGTTTATAGGAATTTTCTGGTTTTTTGGTTAAAGTTCTTCGTAAAGGCCTATTATTTTTCGTTATAAAATATAGCCGGTTGTAAATCTATAATAGAAGAAAAAACAGTAGATATTAAAAGTGTTTTATCACTGTGAACGGGAAGTGGCATATGGTGAACTTGAATGTAACCTTCGTGATGAAACGTATTCTTTTACGATTTGCAACAGGAAAGAAAGAAAAAAGAAAAAATGATCTCACAGTATATAGTCCGGAGATTCACTTCACATTAGAATAGCATCACATTTGAAAAAGTTCCTTTATTTAAGGCTTGTAATAAAATTTTAAATTAAATATTTATCATTTATCATTAATTTTCTACTTTTATTCATAAATAAATCAAAGTAGATATTTAAGATTTTATAACAAACTTTTTAAATTAGGTTTTACGTTAATTAAAAATTATGGCCGTTCTACTTTTGAAACCAGGTTAGAATTTTTACGGGTCGACTTATTACCTCAAATTCTTGAGTTAAACTAATCATTCTAGGTTAGTTATTTAATATTAGTAATATTATTTCATTCGAAGGAATGAATTCGTAAGTTTGCACTTTACCGAAAAAGGAACTAGTTCACGAATTTGTTTTCTAGTTATTTTACTACATTTGCACGTTATGTAAAGTTAAATTACGTAATCTATGCGCAAAGTCACGATTTTAAAGAAACTAAACAAAGTTCTTAACGAAGCTAAACACATAAATTCTCTTCCTTAATCGGAAATAACGAAAAAAAAATATATATATATATTTAAATTTAATATTATAATACAATTATTTTGATTATGGCAATCCTTGCGAATCATCTCTTTGAAATGTGTAACTGTGACATATTTAGTCTACAGTTAAATTTGTTTTTAAATTTTTGAATAAAACTTTTAATATTAACATTAATATTAATTAATAAAATTTTATATTTTATTAATCAATACTTTAATATTAAAAGTCTTAAAATGTTTTTTTTTTGTTTTATCGTTTTTCTTTTCTAAATTATCTTTGACTTCGAAATCGTAAACGTATCTAGAACGTAAATGATATTTTGTTGATGTTCTAATATTAATTAGAAAGAAAATATTCGAAACTTTCATTTAAAAATAATAGGAAGTATGAGACATAAATCAAACATTTGAATTAGTTCAACTGAAAATAAATTATATAGTAGCTTATAATTGCGTTTTATAAATATTGCATATTGTTTTACAAGTTCATTTGATTTTTATTATAAATTAAAAAATATATCAATTCTACGAAATATATAATTTAAATCAAATTTAAGTGCTCGAAAAATTAAAGGGTAAACTAATTAATATAGACTACATTTAAATTCAATTTACGACTAATGAAACAAAATTCGATTAACCATAATTTTTCATTAAATATTAATCATATTAAAACTGATTAAAGAACTATCTAATTCATTGTTACATTTAATTCAAGTTGAGATTGTCGAATCGAAAAGCATTTATGACCACATACAATTTTTTAATTATTTGTTCGACTGCATTTATTAATAATATCCGGAATTAATGCTAAAAACTAAGGATGGTCATAAATTAATTTAAAAATAACGTGTTAATAAAATAATATTTCTATTTTTCTATTTCGATATATTTTCTATCAGAGCCCAAATATTCCAAATAACCTATTTGAAAACACAGTTTTATATAAAAAATTTTCGAAACAGATTTTGATAGTTTAATATTAGATTTCTCGTTATATTTATATATTTTGCTACAAATGTAAAATCTTTCATTCGATTTTCTTTAAATAGAATGAAATATAGATAAGAATTTCATTGATTTTTATCACTATAAAGACAAAACTTTTTCTCTTCTCTAAATGTTAGCGATGTAATAATGCATTTCTGCCATAGTGAAAAGAAATATTAATTAATTAGTCATTAATTTAGCATTGAATGTTCGAAACTGTAAACTCATTCATTCATTTCTAATAGATCGATCTAGAAAGAATGAAATTAAAATAATAATAATAATAATAACTTTTTTTGACCGAAGTTAAACATATTTTGAGTACCGCGATTTTTAAAATGATAAATTGTCGATATAAAAACGCATGAATGCTATAAAACATATTTATTATCGTTAATAAATAGCGTAAAATTCATATTCGATTGTAATTCACCGAGAAACAGTAATTCATAAATTCGTATATAATTTTCATAAGAACAAAGAAATACACTTCGCTCAAATTGTTTTTGTTGCTTTAAACTTTAATACCGATATTATGAGATTTTACCGGTTAAATTGTATTTTAGTACTTGTATTATCGGATCTTTTATTAATCGATAATGACAGCTTTTCGATATCTTTCTTATCACATTTTACGTAATAAATATCAAAAGTCCAATTATATAGCCTATAGACGTATATAAGCCTATATAAAATTAAATGAAAATGCCAAAATTAGTCAGATACATAATTCTTCTTCCAGACAGAAACTCTTGAAATCATAATGATTGAACCGATTTAATTCAAATTTACATTTATTCTCGTGACCTGACAATTTATTCGAAGTCGTCTCTTTTTTTTAAAGTAATATAAATAATATAAAATTATAGTATGACCTAATTTTACTACTCGTAGTATAATAATTAATTCAAAATTATATGCTTGTATTATGAAAATTTTGAAGTGTACTATCGTGCCACTTTAAAATTTGAAGTAATAATACTATGGTATAATTAGAAGAGTCGCGGTTTTAAAGTCTTAAATGAATAAAATATATTTTAAAAGACATTGTACACGTATTAACAACAATTCATATTTATTATTTTTCAGAAATCTTTTTACTTTTATATAGAAAAACTGGTTTTTGTTACAGAATGATATATTAGTGGCAACGAGAGGTTCCTTATTCAAATATTCTGTTTAAAAATTATTAAAACGTAATTGCGGGAAATCTTAAATACTAAAAAAATTTCAAAGTTCATATTTGGTAACTTGAAGAATAATTTTAAAAAATGCGAAAGTATACTTTTATAGTTTAGTAATTTGAAAAGCCGATTCTTTTTTTAAATCTCTAATCTCTAAGAGCGTTCAGAATAATTCTTTAATGGACTAACCATTTTAAGAAGACCGAAGAAACTTCACATTTTTATTTATTTATTTTTCAAATTTTATTTTATTTTGAAAAATTCTCAATATTGTAAAGAAATTATTTGAAAGGTGAAAAATTGTGTGAAGTTTATGTTACCAGAAATTGCCCAGAACTTACTTATCTGTATCAATTCTGTTATTAATCGATTATTATAATAATGAATAATGCTATTAATTGCTTAAGCAAGAGCATTTCACAAATGCATTTTATTTTTTGTTTATTTCAATAAAGTTGCGTTCTTCTCTTTGAAAAAGTGTTTAATTTAATAAATCTCGCCTTAATTAATTAATAAAATTATTTATTGCTGAGATAAACTATTTTATATTAGAATCGTTTTTATTTAACATTTAGATTATAAATTATAATATTTTAAGAAAAGTGATTCTTAAATGCATTTAATTATTTACTCTTTTGAAGGATTTTTATAGAATTTAAACAGACTCGAAAACTGCAGTGACTCGCAA